GTATCTGTTAAGAAGACGATATGCGCAACTGTGCACTCATGTCGGACATCACATAGAAATCGTTTAGCCAAGGCAAGCTGCAGGCATGACAAGCTCCGGCTTGCGTGGACGACGGCGCTGTGCCCCGCTGGTACCAAAAGGCGCTAGTGGCTCTTTGGCCGATGTCTCTGGGCACGCACCGCGAGCACCACATCACGGCAGTATCTCTCATCCTGCTTGACCATTCCTAGGGTCCCTCAGGCATTCCTGCGTAAGTCCTACACCATCGTCGTCATCGCATACCGCGTCTGCACATTGTGTCTCTTCAGCATGGCGTCTGAGGCGCGCAGTCGCGACAGCTTCCCGGTCCTAATGCGGGTGTCAACATTTTATGATTGCCATGCTGATATCTCATAGACCAGTCCGCCCACCATGCCCGCCATGCTCGATGATCCCACCGCGCCGGTGATATATAGGACCTCTGGCGACGTGCCGTACCCTCCTCCTGGTGGCCCGCTACCTGTAGGCATTGCACCATGTCAAGTCATCCTGCGCGATCGCGTGACTACCGCAACGATCATACCCTTCTCTGCGCCGAATCAAGTACCCCTCACATTACTGGCATATCTCTGCGACCAACTGGGTCGCGAGATAGAAAAGGGAGATACGTACCCCATGGTTGATCCGCTCGCTCTTGAGGCTTTCGGTCCGTACTGGTTCGGTGTCTTTGGTGCGATTATGCTGCTGGGAGAGATCCAGGACGGTCGCGAACTACACGAGATGGCGCGGAGGGGTTGCGACTGGGAGAGGGAATGTCTGGGTAGCTTCTACATCAAGCCCAACTACCCAGGACGGTCGAGTCATGTCTGCAATGGCGGGTTCCTGGTCACGGATGCGTCGCGTAATCGGGGTGTCGGTCGCTTGATGGGCGAGACTTATCTGGACTGGGCTCCGAAGCTTGTGAGACTCGCCGTGAGGGTTACATCGCATGCGCTAACACGCTCAGGGCTATACCTACTCCGTCTTCAACCTCGTGTACGAAACCAATGTTGCTTCATGCCGCATATGGGATGCCCTCGGCTTCAAGCGGATCGGTCGCGTGAAGGGTTGCGGTAACCTGAAGTCGTATCCCGGCGAGCTAGTCGATGCCATCATATACGGAAGGGACCTGGGTCAGGATGACGAGTTCGTGTCTGAGGAGCGCTTCGACAAGATCCGCTTCTACCTCAAGAACGGAAAATACCCCAACGGTGCTGATCGAGCAGAGAAGAGCCGTCTCCGTAGCGCGGCGACGCACTACAAGCTCACACCCGGAGAGGGCGACGGCCCTGAGAAGTTGTGGCTCAAGGGCAAGGAGGTTATTGCGGATCCTAAGCAGCAGTATGAGATTGCTCGGGAGATACATCACAAGTCGCATGGGGGCATCAACAAGACTACGGCAGCGATTGCGGAGCTCTACCATTGGGTTCGCATAAAGGAGACCGTCAGCCAGGTCATTCGCAACTGTCCAGAGTGCAGCGAGATGAACAAGGGCTTGTCGGCTATGCGCCAGGGTCAGAATCAAGCACGGGCAGAGGCGAGGTCAGGATCCAGTTTCCTGTCATCAACCACTACCCAGCCAACTCTGACACCAACACCGCCGAGCTTGTTCTCACCAACACAACCACCGCCTCGTTCAGACTCACCGGGTGGCCAGCTACAGCTCGAAGCCGCACAGCACCAGAGCGCAATCTATCCGCAGTACGCCCAAGATAACGGCTACGACCTGCCAGTCGATCCCGCACTCATGCATGGTTTACAGGCCAACACCAACCTCGCCGATCTTCCGCCATCGCCGTTCCTTGCAGCTCAGGCGAATGGCGTACCTCATCCGGGGGAGCTCGACAATCAGCGCATGAGTCTTGACCCAAGCTTAGATGAGCGGGCACCCACTGCAGGGGAGGAGATGCGTAGGAGGTTGAACCGTGTGAGCCAGTATAAGTGAGTAGACATCGTGTGGTTGAGTGAAGTGTCGAGCTTAACAGCGTATGGCGAAGGTGAGTATACCAGTGATACCAGACATGTAGGCGATGGGAAATGTGTATGAAGAAGCCGCAGGAGAATACGTGGAGGATCATACCTAGGATATAGCGGCAGTTCGATGAAACAAGTAGCATAACGATGAAGTCATTGTAAAATCCCGGTTGATTTGGAACATACTTGTGACGGTGTCTGCTTGAGTTGATCTTTATTGCTGTCTGACGTATATAAACTAATGACTACACGCTTGTGGCTCTCCCATCAAAATCGCCGGCTCACATCCTACCCCTCTCACTTTATCTGTTTCGCCAGTTCCCCTCCTACATATCTCGACCTAATTCTTTCCTTCCATTCCGTTCCTTTCGCGTCCAATCAAACATCTTCAGATAACCTCTTCCTCTTCCCATTTAACCCTCAAACAACCCCCACTCCTTCACTTGGAAGCTCTCCAAAACCTGCTCCTTGACCGCCTTGCTATCCTTCATCAACTGCGTTTCTCCACCTTGCTGTTCTGCTGGCGTGTACTCGCCTGCGTAGTGTGGGATATTGACTGATACCATGACCTGCGATTTGTGTTAGCCAACAAAGGGATAAACTGTAGATGCCTGGGGAGAAGAGGTATACGTACATCGGTACCTTGCTCCTTGAGACGGAGAAGAAGGAGATGGATATACGTGAATTCGGGAGTCTTGCGGTTGGGATGAGGGTTGGGTGTTGGTGGTGTTTGGATGAATGATAGTGCTAGGACTGGCTTGTCTCTGTAATCACAGTCAGCCTTCCATCCACGTTTCCGTATACAATACTTGATCCTCTCTTTCTTCGGTCCTGCTTCGCTTTTCCAGAATGATGGGGTGGAATACTTACGGCAAACTCTTCATCACAGCACGCTCTTGCGAGATAATCGTACTCTGATCCCCAGTCCCCTCGACCAAATCTCCGAAATGATACTGAAGCGCTTCTTCATCGCTGTTCTTCTCGACATACTCTAGTATCTCAATGACGATGCTAGAGTAGCCGTTGTTGTCGAGGTAGACTTCCTGGTGGTCTGGGATTTGGCGGATTTGACTGTTTGTTCACTTTATCAGTATGCTGTATTTTGCATTGGGAAAGATAAGTGCCTGCCAAATTAGGCATTTGGAGTTGTGGTGTTGATGGAACGCATGCAAAGGGAAGGCGCGGGATGTGGGGGCGCGCAGGATGAGAGAACTTACGAGGCGTCGGCGAAGTTTGAGGGTAGATCGAGGGTTATTGCGCCGCCGTAGAGGGGGGTGTTTGTGAATGCCATTTTGTAATGTGTCTCTATCTCGACTTGTTGCGCTCTCTGCCGGGGTTGATGTCGTTCTTATGTTGTGACTTTGACGTTGGTGATGGCGCGAAGGGACGTAGGTAGCCACCAGGCAACATCAGGCAGCATGGAAAACGGCAACCTACAACGTATTTCTGACAACGCAGCAACAGAGCAGCAGCTCACTTAGATTGCTGTGAAGTAACTGTGTGAGTAGCATCCAATTCACATATTGTTACTACTTATTTTGGGTCATTCTTTTTCCAGAATGGGCTCATAATAGCCTTCAAATAGCATCATTGATTTGGTCAACAAGACACTACAGTGACTATGATAAGGTCAAGACACTTTGGAAACCTGTGTTTCGATTTGAAATGTAGGGTATCGTCTGAACTCTTTTGTCCTTCTATATGTCCCAAATGCAAGTTTTGAACGCCGTGCAATGCATGTTCTTCTACGAGCCCAAGGGCGTCCTAACCGCGCAGCTATCGTATTGCCACCGGAGTGATGTTTGACCCCCCCGATAGCAGTTCAGCGGTCGCACTCCTAATCCTGCCGTCCATCTGCCATGGACTGCACATCAGATAGTCTTGGCCGTTGCCGTAACCTCAACCTGATGCTGCAACCTGGTCAACCTCCATCGGGGCTGTCGCGGTGGTCGTGCGTGTTCCATTGTTGGTCGTGAGGCCTATCGCTGCCTCTGCCTCCTTCTGAGAGTATGGCTCTTCGCGAAGTTGCTTGACTCTGCAGACTTGTTAAAATCTAATCCTACAGTCGCATACATGAGATGTCCTACCTGCGCTTATGGACCTTGCCCTTCTGGTGTGCGACAAAGTTGGCGTCGCTCTCAAAAAACTTTGCGCATTCCTTGCAGTAGAATTCGCCCAGACCGGGCAAATCTTCTATGGGCTTCGCATCCTTGAATTCTGCGAGATGCTTCTCGTCGCGCAGGTCGGCGTGGATCTGATCGAGGTCGCGCGTGTGTCGACGTGTCTTCTTCTTGGAGTCTTGTCCGCGTATGGCTGGCATGGTGGGCAGTATCCGCGGCCGTCGGTTATCCGTGTGGAATCGTGATGGTCGGCTATAGAGAAAGTTGCAGTGTGGGGACACCTGCCGACGGGGGCCCGTGCCCGGTCTGCAGGTCAGAAAGACTTGTGGAGCTAGGTCAAATTAGGTGCTGGTAGATGCTACTGTCGCTCCAGACCCGAAATTTGCCATGTCTGCAGGCCTGCACGCTGACTCGGCACACAATTGTTGAGTCGGAAAAGGACGCGCAGGCCGCCGGCAGCAGCGCGCGCGTGAATGTGCTATCGCAGAACGCCAATCACCTGCAAAAGGAACGAGCGCGGGGTTGGTGAACCGCTGCCGGGTATGACGTCTGGGTGAACACCTATAGCTTCCCGACACATGGCTGCGCGGCCTCCAAGACGTGAAATAGCAGCAGGCAGCCAGTCGCACACAGCGCAATTACTCTCTCCATAATTGCGTCTCCATTACATCGCCCTTGCACGTGAAGCGGGCCAACGGGACTGCGCTGCCGACCTGTTTCTGGTTCTGGCGCCGAGGTATTCCGCACGCAGCTGGGGCTAGACGAACCAATCACGCCCCTCGTGATCCTCATTAGTTATCGCCCAACTTGAGGCAGCTTCTGACGTTCTTTTCCTCCGCTTCCTCCATCACTCTTCTCTCCACACCACTCCCCTCCTCAAACTTCACCATGCAGAAGTTCTCGAGGCTCGGCCGCCTCGGCCAGAGCCTTGCTTCGCGCAGGCAATTGGCCACCGTCAGCGATGCTCCCCTCTCTCGCAAGGTCGAGATGACCAACTGGGAGAAGGGCCACTACATCAACTACCAGAAGATGAACGAGAACCTCGAGATTGTTCGTGCCCGCTTGAACCGCCCGCTCACCTTCGCCGAGAAGATTCTCTACTCCCACTTGGACGACCCCCACGGTCAAGAGATTGAGCGCGGCTCCAGCTACCTCAAGCTCCGCCCCGACCGTGTAGCTTGCCAGGATGCCACCGCCCAGATGGCCATTCTTCAGTTCATGTCAGCTGGTCTGCCCTCCGTTGCCACACCCACTACCGTCCACTGCGACCATCTTATCGAGGCCCAGGTTGGTGGTGAGAAGGATTTGGAGCGCGCCAACGAGATCAACAAGGAGGTCTACAACTTCTTGTCCACCTCTTGCGCAAAGTACAACATTGGTTTCTGGAAGCCCGGCTCTGGTATCATTCACCAGATCGTGCTTGAGAACTACGCTTTCCCTGGTGCTCTCCTCATTGGTACCGACTCGCACACTCCCAACGCCGGTGGTCTCGGTATGGCCGCCATTGGTGTCGGTGGTGCTGACGCTGTCGATGTCATGGCTGGTCTTCCCTGGGAACTGAAGGCTCCCAAGGTCATTGGTGTTAAGCTTACTGGCAAGCTCTCCGGCTGGACTGCTCCCAAGGGTACGTATTTGCATTATTGGTTTTTGAAGCGGGGCAACCACGCTAACGAAGTCTACAGACATTATCCTCAAGGTCGCTGGTATCCTCACCGTCAAGGGTGGAACTGGTGCTATCGTCGAATACCACGGACCCGGTACCGAGAGTCTATCCTGCACCGGAATGGCTACAATCTGCAACATGGGTGCTGAGATTGGTGCCACCACCTCGCTCTTCCCCTTCAACGACCGCATGTACGACTACCTTGCCGCCACTAAGCGCCGCGACATTGGTGACTTCTCCCGCGAATACGCCGCCCAGCTCCGCGAGGATGAGGGTGCCGAATACGACGAGCTTATCGAGATCAACCTTGACGAGCTCGAGCCCCACATCAACGGTCCCTTCACCCCCGATCTAGCTACACCCATCAGCAAGTTCAAGGAGGCTGTCAAGGCCAACAAGTGGCCTGAGGACCTCAAGGTCGGTCTTATCGGTTCTTGCACCAACTCCTCGTACGAGGACATGAGCCGTGCTGCCTCCATTGCTGAGGACGCCATGTCCCACGGCGTCAAGGCGAAGTCTCTTTTCACTGTTACCCCTGGTTCCGAGCAGATTCGCGCCACCATCGAGCGCGACGGTCAGCTCAAGACCTTCGAGGAGTTCGGCGGTATGGTCCTCGCTAACGCATGTGGCCCTTGCATTGGTTAGTTGTCTCTCTTCTTTTCAAGGTAGCCTGGAGGTATACGATACGTTTTGTTTTGTCTCTTGACAAAATAAGCGCCCTCGTATGCTTCAGAGCTGCCGTATTCCCCCTCCTTCACGACGCAGCCTGGAGGTGTTCGATACGTTTGGGTTTGTCTCTTGACAAAGTAAACACCCTCGTATGCTTCAAAGCTGCTTAGTTCCCCCTTCATTTCATGGTAGCCTGGAGGTATCCGATACGTTTTGTCTTGTCTCTTGACAAAACAAAAGCCGTCGTATGCTTCAGGGCTGCTATTTTTCAAATCGTATCTGAGCATCTGCTAACGAATCTCCAGGTCAATGGGATCGCCGCGATGTCAAGAAGGGCGAGGCTAACTCAATCATCTCTTCTTACAACCGTAACTTCACTGGCCGTAACGACGCCAACCCCGCCACCCACTCTTTCGTCACTTCCCCCGACCTTGTCGTCGCCATGACCATTGCTGGAACCTTGAACTTCAATCCTTTGGTAGATGAGCTCGAGGGAGCGGATGGCAAGAAGTTCAAGCTCAAGGAGCCTTCCGGCATGGGTCTTCCCGCCAACGGCTACGACCCAGGCCAGGATACGTACCAGGCGCCACCCGAGGATCGCTCATCCGTCTCCGTCGCCGTTTCGCCCACCTCCGACCGTCTCCAACTTCTTGAGCCTTTCTGTAAGCAACACTCTTGTGCGAAATACACGGTGCATACTAACTTTTACAGCCGCCTGGAACGGCGAAGATGCGAAGAATCTCCCTATCCTTATTAAGTGCCAAGGAAAGACTACCACCGATCACATCTCCATGGCCGGTCCCTGGTTGAAGTACCGTGGACACTTGGACAACATCTCCAACAACATGTTGATCGGTGCCATCAACGCTGAGAACGGCGAGGCCAACAAGGTCAAGAACCTTCTCGACGGATCTTACGGTGCCGTCCCTGATGTCGCCCGAAACTACAAGAAGAACGGCGTCCCATGGGTTGTCATGTAAGTACTTTTTCTATACACGCTTACCAGCCTCTTGCTAACTTCGAACGCAGTGGTGACTGGAACTACGGAGAAGGCTCTTCCCGTGAGCATGCTGCGCTTGAGCCCAGGCACTTGGGTGGCGCTGCCATCATCACCCGCTCCTTCGCTCGTATCCACGAGACCAACTTGAAGAAGCAGGGTATGCTTCCCCTTACCTTCTCGGACCCTGCCGACTACGACAAGATCGGTCCCAATGATCGTGTGACCTTGGCCTCCACTGAGCTCGCCCCGGGCAAGCCCCTGACCATGACTGTCCACCCCGCCGATGGATCCAAGGAGTTCCAGGTCAAGCTCTCGCACACCTTCAACGAGGGCCAGATCGAGTGGTTCAAGAACGGCAGCGCTCTTAACACCATGGCTAAGAACGCCAAGCAGTAGATGCACAGAAGAGAAAACGAACGAAAACAATCACCACCGGGGATGTAAATACGGAGGACGGAATACCCCGCAAATGCTTCACGATTGGGGATGAAAGTCAAATCAGGGGTGGAGCAGAAATATGAAGAGAGAGCTGGGCGTCCGCAGACGGGCGCAGCAGTAACGGCTCCTGGGTCGATCTTTCGGGCTCAAAGTAGTTGGGTTTGCTTGTATTTGTGATGATTAGCATGCAATGTATGACTGATTTTTTCTGGTTACAATATGTATCTGCTGTGATATGAGTCACGATCTGAAATGTGGCTGGCAAAGACGTGTGGTTGTTTTGTTTCCGTACGCAAAGACACGAGGCATAGTGAAGTATACATTGCGATTCTCGCCCGTGTGCTGTAATCGGCAACTGCTGCAAATACCTTCAGGGTACGTCTTGTCGTTTTGTACAACTAACAAAACTTGCATGTATTCGCCCCGGCTACTCCTAGAACTCGAGTATACAAGCTATGACATTCACACGGTGCGCGATTGAGGATGACGCGCGCAGGCTGAGGCACGGTGCACAATACCGCCGCAAACGTGCGAGTGGATCCTGGACCCGTTCCCGCTAGTCACCGGGACAACGGCCGATAACAAACACACTCGGCAGTTCTCCAACATCTACACATCCTTGCGCGAACAACCTTCTCGGAACCAATCGCACACACAACGGCTTGAATATCCTTACATATTGCAAGATTGCATATCACCTCACCTCATCATGGCGCGTCTACGCAAACCAAGCCCGAACGAACCCAGTATCTTTATGCCACCGTCCGAGATGAGAGCAAGCCGATCCAGTCCCCGAAAAGCCACACTGCGATACGCATCATCGCAAGAAGATGACAGCTCGATACTTGTGCCAAAGAGGTCGAGGCGCACCGCGCAAGACATTAGCATATCGCAAGACGAAGAGCAGTCCTTCCGCATACCTTCGATAGCAACGCCAAAGGATACGATCAGCCCCCGCAAGCAACGTGTATTGCGACCGGTCGAGAGCAATAGCCGACTCCTTCGAAAATTGAGTGACGAAAGTCTGGCAAGCCCAGAGAAGAAGCAAAGAGCGAGGAGGGTGCGCAGTGGAACAACAGACACGGATGTGGGAAATAGGAATGGGCTTATGTATGCCAAAAGCCTGGCTAGAAGCGTGGTGAACAAGCAAAACAAGAAAGGCAAGATTAATGTCGTAGGGGAAGTCGAGGCACAAGAGGCCGCTCAACGGCCACGAAGTAGGGAACACGAGAGCACAGAGGAGGCAGTCGCGCAAGACGACGAGGATGCCGAGGCCGAAACAAGTCTGTGGTGTGGCGATGAGGAAGCAGAGACACAAGAAGAGGTCGCTGAACAGGTCATAGAGATCAGCGAGGATGATGAAGAGGACGAGCCTGTCGTAACGTCGCGAACAAACCAGCGACAACCGCGCGCACGGCGCGTCGTATCTGACAGCGAGGAGGACGAGAGTGAGCTAAGCGCACCACAACCTACCAAACAGCCTCAGCAACCAATCTTCAAGATTCCCGAACTCAAACCGCCGACTGATCTGACTTCCATGCGACCGCCACATCGAAAGGGTCACAGCACGATATTGAATTGGGCGCAGGATGTCGTCGACCTCACCGACTCGCCGGAGGCCCCGGAATCTTTCGTGCTTCCTGAACCCACTCACGCCCGATCAAGCTCTTTCGCAGCATCTTCTCGGCCTACTAGCTCAGCATCGAACGGTCCGCTTGCGATTCTTACGTATTCGCCCACACCTACCAAGCAACGCTCGCCCCGTAAAGCTCCGCCCATCTCGCGACCAGCCACTCCTCCCCTGGCACCTCCCAGTCCCACCAAGCTCGTCTCGCCATCGAAAAAGAAGCCCGTGATTCCTAAAGCGGCCGATCTAGACGGAAGACCAAGCCTTGACGCGTTCTGGAATCCTGCAGCTGTAAACGATTGGACCGACCGACACTCGCCAGCTAAGCAGCTCGTGTCGCCTAAGAAGCAGAAATGGAGGGACGACATAGTCAAGATGATGGAAGGTGTTGCTCTAGAAGACAGCAGTGACGAGGGTTATGAAAGCCCCATCGAGAGCCCCAAGAAGAAGAAGCCCACAAGTCGGAAAGCAGCTAAGGAGAAGACACCAGAGACTGAGCCGGTCCCGAATGTCAAGCAGATCCGTGAGCAACGCAAAGCCTTCGCCGAACGCAAGCACGCCATAGCCGAAGCCTTCCTCATCGAGCTCGACACCACAATCTCATCAGGTCGCATCCACGAGCTCTCGAAACCCACAGGTGGTATCAAGCTCGTCTGGTCCAAGACCCTCAAAACAACGGCCGGTCGTGCGAATTGGCGTAGAGAGCAAATACGCATCCGAACCGGTCCCCTGCCCACCGACACGCGCGTTGAGATCCGACACCACTGCTCCATCGAACTCGCCGAGAAGGTCATTGACGACGAGGAGAGACTCTACAACGTACTCGCGCACGAGTTCTGCCACCTGACCACGTTCATGATCAGCGAAGTCCGTAACAACCCTCACGGAGCAGAATTCAAGTCGTGGGGTCGGAAAGCTACCGTTGCGTTCGCGAGCAAAGGAGTCGAGGTCACCACAAAGCACTCTTACCAGATCGAATACAAGTACGTTTGGGAGTGCGTCTCCTGCGGCTACGAGTTCAAGCGTCACTCCAAGTCCGTTGATCCGGCGCGCCACTCATGCGGCAAGTGCAAGGGCAAGCTCGCGCAGACTAAGCCCACCCCCAGGGGCGGTGGCGCCGGTGCTGCTGTGGGCAAGGACGGCAAGAGAGAGAAGAGCGAATACCAGGTCTTTGTCAAAGCCAACTTTGCGCGTGTCAAGAAGGAGCTGGAGGCGGAGGGCAAGGATGCGCAGATGGGCAAGGTGATGGAGGCTGTGGCCAAGCAGTATAGAGAGAGGAAGGGTGCGAGTAGTATTAAGGGGAAGGAGATCATTGATCTAGAAGCTGCTCTGGATGACATGAAGATCTAGTCCTGATAGCACATGAATGAAGTGTATGAACAATGCCTATCAAAGCACTAGTTGTTCTTCTGTGTTTATCAATTCGTTTGCATGGTGTGAAACAGTGAAAGAGAAGATGGCAGTGCGAGTAGTCTAGTAGTGGGCCTTGTCTGGCCATCGGAACTGGAAATCGGACTCACCGTGGTCTCAATACGCTGCAGTGAAAGCAAAGCACTCCCGCATAGTCAGGCCCTGCTGAACTTGTCACCAGCACTCGCTGAAGACTACAGTAAGAAGCTGAGATTTATTAATGTTAATCATAGGTGAGGTGAGTTGAGTTATACATTGGTTTGTATTAGGTTATTAGTGTCCAGTGAAGGTGAGCTTTATGTATCCAGTGGTCTAGCAGTAGAACGTAGATACTTCGAACGAGGACTAACATCTTCTAGCTCACTAAATCATCTCCCGCTCCGACAAAACAAAATGGGGCTAGAAGCTCCTCACTACACTATGTCCACACGATCAGACAGCACTTATCATATCCCAGCTATCCCGCTATCGCCATCATACTAGCGTTACCTCTGCTTCTTAGGGGTCGTCATCACCCACATCCTTGTCCCCGTCTTCGCCTTTTCCCGCAGGCTTGTTCCTATGCTCATCTGTAAATAGGTTTTGGTTCTGATCCTGGACCTGGTCATGGGCATTCGCCGCGTTCTGGCCGTAGAAGCTCCATACCACATTCTCCCAGTGGTCTGCAGTAATCGTCTTACCAGCAAACATCTTGAGCATGTATGAGAACTCGTCGTCAGAAAGATTACCCTGAGGGGGCACATAGGAGGACCCATCAACTGCAGGGGTGTGTGAATCTGCAGATGGCGCATCGGGTGTCTGTGGGCGAACTCGCTGCAGTGTGTTTTGATACTCCAGATGGTTGACGGACCCTCTAAGACGGATGTAGAGTTGGTTCATGGCGTCGACCATGTCGCGGGTGTCGTTCTGTTGGTCTTCTAGCGCTTTGACACGGGCTTCCATGTCTGTACTCGCTGTAGTTCCGGTGATAAGAGGACCAGCGGCTGCGTCGTGATCTGTTGAAGTGGGACGAGAGGGGTTCAGGTCATGTCCCTTCTGCTTTCCCGTCTTTCCCATAGCTGATATAGGGAGGAAATCGACTACCTCGCCGTCTGTGTTCTTGATTTGGAAAGCACGTACAGAGCGGGCGGGCTTTGGAGTCGCTGTCATGCGGTTCGATTGATCAGCTTGGTTCTGAGCCGCGTAACGAAACAGATCTCTAGAGGAAGAGCTTGATGGGGAAGAGCGAGTGGGCAGAGACATCCTTGAAGCCTCGTCCACCGCGCGACTAGCTTGTTGTCCGGTCCGCAGACCAGAGAGCTCGTCCATTGCTTGGTCGCCGTCATGCTGAGAGCCTTCATTTTGGGGTATGTTGAGGCTTGGTGGAAATACGGCACTTGGTCGAGGTTGATTGATTGTGTTTCCATGTACACCAATTGTCAACCTGCCGTTGAAGTCCTCGCCAGATGGCCCCCTGCCAATTGCACTGTTGAGTCCCATCCTTCCAAACTGAGATAAGCCGTCATTGACGGAAGGGCTGCGATCTGGCGCGGGTCCTACAGCGCCACTGTTGTGCCCACCGCGGTTGTTGGTGCGCTCAGTTCTGTTCGAGCCTCTGCCTCTTCCCTGTTTTCCCCTTCCGGACTCATTGCGACGGCCACGCGACTGTGTATCGCGAGGGCCCGTAGGCGCGTTTGCTGGTGGGGCGGGGGGATCTGGTTCATTCTCGCTATTCGCGCCGCCTGGAGCCCACTTTGAGCTGTTCATAGTCCTTGTGTTGTGATTCCGCGTGGATTTGTGCTTGTGTGTCAAAGAGCGTGACTGATCCGAGTTGGAATGCGGGATGAGAGCCCGAGCTGATGCCTACTGTAGGGAAGAGCAATCGCGTCAAGGAGAGCAAGCAGATTTGCTCAAGCAAGCAGTGCGAAAGGAGTGCAAAATAAAGCACGAGACTGCAAGTGTAGCTCACAGTGCGTAGAAACAGTCAGCAGGCTCGCGCTTTGAGTTAGCGCAGGGAAACGATACGTCAGTTCAGCTCGCGTTTGCTGTGTCGTGTGCGCACTCTTATTTTGCCATCAGGATTTTGTAGAACTAACGGGTCGAGGTTGGATAGACACAGACAAGGGCCTTAGATCGACTATCGGATTCTGTGGGTAAGTAAATCTGATCTCTCCACTTGTTTCTCATGTGCGTTGTATTCTTGCATGCGAATGCAATCCATATGTATTCATCTATCGTTCCCTCGTATTATGTTCATGTACCAGCCACCTCTTTGTGTCCTTTTCTCAACATCTTCTTGCTATACTCATCTTCTGTTCCTAAACTCTTTCCCTACAAAGCAATAGCAAAACCCACAGCTACAACCGCAGTGCTAATCGCCGTCCACAATGTCCTGCCACCAATCATGGCGCCACTCGCGTCACCCGAAGCAGGGTCGCTCGAGCCCTCACCATCTCCCGTTGGGCTCGGCCTCGGGGGTGGGAAGCTTGTGTTGGACGGCACGTCGGTAAGGTTCTGCACGGTGATCCAGGTCGCCGCCAGAGCAGTCGTCAGGTTCGCGTCAGCTGCAAACTGGCTGACATTGAAGCCGACCCTGTTGTCCGCCAGGTTCTCGTACATGGAGGGTATGCTGAAGTTGCGCGGTTGCTGCATGAGGATGAATGTGTAGCTGTGGGGGCTGTCACCCACTGGAGGTGAGGGCTGGAGGTATGGGACGGGGTTGTCCGACGGAATGTCGAGGGCTGAGCCAGTTGTGTTCGCGGAGATGGGAACAGAGCGCGTGACGTTCGTAGCGATCCAGTGTACTAACTGGACGCGTGAGTTGTTACGGGGCACGTCGAGGTCGACCATGAGGAGGACGCATTGGCCGGGGCCTCGCTCGTCGGAAAACCATACTGGCGACGAGACGGTTGGGGGTGCTGCGGTTTCTGGTGGTGATGAGTGTTAGTTGGTGTTTAGCAGTACTCGGCTCGACTGCGCCGCGACGACAGCGGATGGAACGTACCGGGACGAGGAATGCGCTCTCCGCCGGGCGACACGGTATTGTTGCTGTACGTCACGGTCAAGTTCTGAGTGACGTCGATGGGAAAGCCAGGCGCTGATCCCGCTGTCGCGACACCTGCGAGTAGCGCAGTCGCGCTGAGAATGGTCTTGGTGAACATGGTCGGTCTCTTGGCTGGTGTGGTAGTCGGCGTTGTTGTGGAGCGGGTCGTACTGTTGTGATGCAGTTGGTGCTTGATGGTCGAAAAGCAACGGGCGCAAGCAGCTTCTTTAGTATTCTGGCGTGAACCTGCGTCGGCTGCGGGAGCTCAGGGCTTGATGCGCAGCTAAAGGCCTATTTCCGTGTAGCCGGAGTGACAGCAGAGGTTCATGACGTTTACCAAGACTCGGTCCCTTGCTCGGGGTATCGCACGGCCAGCGGACGGCATCCCGGCACAGCTCGAGAAAAGGCTGGGGCTGGCCGCCTGAGGGGCCTTGTTCATGCCGCAGCCAGAATCATTCCAAGCATCGCGCTGGTCGCCTCGGCCTCAGGAATATCGTTAATCGAATTTACCATGTTGTCCGCGAGTGTATGTAAGCACGCGTCGTTATTTGGTTGCGGTTGCGACGCATGCTCGCTAAGTCGGGGCCAAAGAGACGGGAGCCGGCTGAACATCCAGCTATTCAGGCCGCCCTCATCGCACGATGCCTGCAATTAAGCCACGCATGAATCAAGTAAGCCTGAGATTTGTCTATGCTCTATGGTTTCGAGGCCTTGCATCCTCACATGGTTTTATCGGCGGCAGCCCTATCACCCCTCGCTCGGGATGCAGACGTTATGTCTGCACAAGCGCAATGGTATCAGAAGCCGCGCCCCATCACCAATCCTCCAGGGCTATTATAAGGTGATCATGTGGTCTCGCGCAGGGCCGACACCAATCCATTTGACCTTGACTCCGACAAACTTCTCAATGTACTCAATGTAACTCCTCGCTTGGCTGGGCAGGTCGTAGTAGCTTGTCACGCCAGTCGTCGGCTTCTTCCAACCTGGCAGTGTATCGTATTGTACTTCGACTTGGGCAAGGATCTCGGGGTTCGCGGGGAAGCCTTCAAGCACCTCGCCCTTGTACGAGTAGGATGTCGCAACCTTGAGCTCGTCAAAGTCGTCCAGAACGTCGAGCTTGGTGAGGTTGATGGCGGTGTAGTCGTTGCACGCGTGTGAGTGCTTGACAACGACCAGGTCGAGCCAGCCGCAGCGGCGCTTGCGACCGGTTGTAACGCCGACTTCATGGCCTACTGACTGAAGCTTCTCGCCCACCTCGTTGAGCTGCTCGGTAGGGAAGGGTCCGCTACTACTTGTTAGCCTCTGAATTTGTCTTTCGGTGCGATGCAACTCACGATCCGACACGGGTAGTGTATGCCTTGACCACGCCAATGACCTCCTTCAGTGACCGCCATCCCAAGTTGAGACCTGTGATGACACCTCCAAGACCAGTGTTTGATGATGTGACGAAGGGGTATGTGCCGTAGTCGATGTCCAGCATCAGCGCGTTCGCACCCTCGACGAGGATTTTGGCGTTCTTCTCCTTTGCCGATGCGAGGAGCGGGATCTGGTCGACGACGTAGGGAGCAAGCTTCTCGCGCAGAGTCTTTGACATTGTCAGTCTTTGTCCCGTATATTCCAACGCCGTTGTAACTCACCTTGTACTTCGTAATCTCCTCTTCCACATCGTACTTGAGCAGATCGCCATATCGCTTCTGGAACGAGTTGGCTAACCTCCTGAGCTTCGTCTCGAAGATCTGCTCATCGAAGAGGTCGCACATGCGGAGGCCGCTCCTGGTCATCTTGGTGCTGTAGGTTGGGCCGATACCCTTCTTGGTCGTGCCTGCATCCCGCCATCAGCACGTCAGTCCCGCAGCAGGCGCGTGTGCTCCTCACCAATCATGCCACCGCCCAATTCCACCTCCTCCAGGCCATCCACCATCTGGTGCACGTCAAACACGACATGGGCGCGGTCCGAGATGAATATTCTTCCGTCCGTCTTCAATCCGTGTTTCTCCAGCGCTTCCAGCTCCTTGAAGAAACTGGGAACGTGAACGACGCAGCCACTTCCGATGACATTGATGCAGCCAGGGTTCACGAGACCGCTCGGGAGAATATGGAAATCGTACGTGACGCCGTTCGCGACAATGGTGTGTCCGGCGTTGTTACCGCCCTGGGCGCGGGCGCAGATTTGCGACTCATGGGCTAGGATATCGGCCAATTTTCCTTTTCCTTCATCTCCCCACTGTGCTCCGAGCACCACAGTAGTCGACATCGTGAAGGCGAGAGACAAGAAGGAAAGGGTGGACGGGGCGGCAGGTGGGTTTTCAATTCCGCGTTGACTCGATCTAACAAATTCGTGCCCCACCCATCACCCCGCGATGCCGCAATTTTCCGCACGAGCCACCAGTGACGCACCTGGGCATGTGAATGAGCCGCAGGATCCCATATGTCTGGGTCTTTCCGGGTTGATCTGCAGTCATCGCAATCACAGTTCATACATTGGTGTATAGCTACGTTGTTATCGTGGTAAACGCATCAAGGAATTAAGAAATTTCATTCTCATATCTACAAACACTCCAAGTGGAAATTGAGTCACATCCATACCTATCCTCCTAACCGCGCCAAACACCCGGACCCGGCGGCTGATATGTCTCTGGTGCCGATGTGTACTTGTTCAGGTCGACGAGAATCCCCGGGTCGTTACTTCTGCGGCCCACGTTAGTATGTCTCTGATACTCATCAGTTTTACTTACTTGTAAGCACCCGGGAACGCAACTAGCGGGCTCGGCAGCCCAGCTCCTCCCCCTGTTATCTTGATCTGCGAGCAAGCCAGGTAGAACTGCGCTTTGTTCGCTTGCATAGCCATATGCAGTGCGATGTGCTCAACGCGGAGCAAGTAGTCGCCCGAAGGCGTGGCAGCAGGGATTGTTGTGTTGGGTGTGAGATACTCGTCTGCAAAACGTCATTAGTAAACGCGAAGTGAAGAGAAGGAATAGCTTACTCTGTCCTGGCCAGCTCATCTGCTTCTGCGCGTTTACGCTCGGCATCGTGGTACTGATCTTGAACCACACTGCACCACTCCCGTCCCAGCTCTTCAGATCCTTGCCATCGGGAACTTTGGCGAGGTAGTATTGCGTTGGCCCCGGGTGATTAACCTGCTGCGTGGATATGTAGTGAATAGTCGATCCGGCCGGTACGCTTGCGACGTTTGGCGCGGTTTTTGACGTGTAGCAGCGAATGTCCGCGACCGTGGGGTTCTGGTCAAGTAAACATCCTAGACAGTAGTAACTCGAACACTATCTTA